CAGGTGTGGCACTCAGGAGGCAGAGGCAGGCAGATCTCTGTGAGTTCAAGGTCAGCCTAGCCTTCTCAGTAGCCCTCCGTTCGTCTTCTGGATGAGGGCGACTCTGTCTAAGAAGAGCCCCCCCCCCAAAAAAAAGCTTCAGGCTACAAAGAAACTATTCAAAAAGATTTTTTATATTTTATTTTATGCGTATGAGTGTATTGCCTGCATGTGTTTAAGTACACCTGTGTCGTGCAGTACCCATGGAGTTCAGAAGAGGTGTTGGATTCCCCTGGAACTGGGTTACAGATGGTTGTTAGCTGCCATGTGGGTGCCTGGAATTGAACCTGGGCCCTCTGCAAAAGCAGAAGGTGCTCTTAACCACTGAGCCATGTCTCTAGCCTTCTCAGATTTTTTTTTTTAAGATTTATTATTTGTTCATGTCTCTGTGTGGCAGTGTACATGTGTGTATGAATGTGCCCACCGAGGCCAAAAGAGGGTGTCAAGTCCCATTAAGTTAGAGTTATAGTATCTGATATGGGTGCTGAGAGCCAAACTCAGATCCTCTGCAAGAACAGCAAGCACTCCTAACCACTGAGCCATCTCTCCAGCCCCCAGAAAGCTTTTAACAGACAGTATCCATCTAGTGCTGTGTGGGCTTGGCTACAATGGGTAGCCTTGACATCCTGTATAGGCCTTTCCCTGCCCAGATGGGACTTGGCTTTAAATTTAAGGTAAGGCTTTTCACAATCAGTTCAGGCTACTATAACAGTCACTTAGACAGGGTGGTTTAAACAACAAACATTTACTTCTCAACTCTGGAACCCAACAGTATGAGACCAGAGTGTCAGCACAGCTGGGTCCTAGTGTCCTCTTCTGGGCTGCATGCTTCTAGACTTCTTGGATCCTCACATGGCAGAAACAGTACAAGAGAACTGTCTGTAGGCTCTTTAGTAAAAAACTCATCCCATTTGTGAGGGTTCCACTCTCACGATGCAATTACCTCCCAAAGGCCCTGTGATGGTTTGAATGAAAATGTCCCCCATAGGCTCCAAGTATTTGGACATTTTGTCCCCAGATGATGGCACTGTTTTGGGAGGTTTTAGAAGGTGTGGCTCTCCTGGAGGAAGCACGTCACTGGGGGTGGGCTTAGAGAGTTCTTAAGCCTTGCCAGATCTGCAGTCTTGCTCTCTTGCTTCCTGTGTGTGCTGGATAACTTCAGTGTCGACTTGACACATCTGGGTTGAGGGAGCCTCAACTGGGGAATTGCCTCCATTGAACTGACCTGTGGCCATGTCTGTGAGACATCTTCTTGATTGTTGTGTGATGTGGAAGGATGCAGCCCACTGTGGGTGGGGCCACCCCTCGGCAGGTTGGCCTGTGTTGCAGGCTGAGCAGGGGCCAGAGGAGTAAGCCAGTAAGCATGCTCCTCCATGGCCTGTGCTCCAGCTCCTGCCTCCAGGTTCTTGCCCTGAGTTCCTACCTTGGGCTCCCGGATGAACTGTGACCCGGGACCCCAGCCACCTCCAGCCACCGTGCCTCCCTGCCATGACGGACTGTAATGCTCCTGGAACTGTAAGCTCAAATAAATTCTTCCTTCTATAAGTTGCTTTGGTCAGTGTTTCTATCACAGCAACAGAAAAGTGACTAATACAGGCCCCAACTCCAAATACCATCACCTTGGGTAGGAAGGAAACATTCAGTCCATTGCAAGCTTATAGCACCTGGAGTCAGGCAGATGGGATGCATTGTAGGCACCCACAGAAGAAGATGTCCGATAACCCTAGAACTGGAGTACAGGCAGTTGTAAGCTGTCTCACATGGATGATGGGACCCAACTTCAGGTCCTCTGCAAGAACAGTGGACACGTTTAATCACTGAGCCACCTCTCAGCTCTGGCAGACCCAACTCAATCTTCAATGACCTCAATACCTACCTTAGTCTTACTTGTTACCTTTCAAGTCCTCTGCACTCCCAGATTTTTTTAGTTTTGTTGGTTTTTTTTTTTTTTTTTCGGTGGGGAGGGGGAATGAAAGAGTCTTGCTCTTAGCCCTGATGGACCTCAAACTTAGACAATACTCTTCACTCAGCCTCCCAAGTGCCTGGATTATAGGCACACACCTCTATGCCCAGCTTCTCTTAGTTACTTAATCTCTCCAATTCTGAGGACCGTCACTCGACTTCAGACACCTTAGACCTTGTCACCAAAGGTCTGTGAACTGACCAGAACAGTTACTCCTGTAAGACCCTAGGCTCAGAACTATGTGTGATATAACAGCCTTTCCCCATCTGGGTCTCTATTCCATCAGTTCAGTTCTTCTTGATTCATTGTGAAACACCCTGAATGAGCAGCCTTCAAATTTCTTTTCTTTTTTTTTTTCTCAATTCCCATTTATTCCACAATCTATTCAAGCTTTTAAGCTCTTACAAAGATCTCCAGTGATCTTTTAATGGCTCAACTCAATGGGTTAAAGTACTTGACACTGATTCATATGATGCTGTCCACCACTCCCTCCCTCATATACAATTACATCCTCATATAATTGTGGTGATCTCATGTTACCCTGGTTCTTCCAACCTCTCTGGCTCCTTCTCAGTTCTCTTCAAAGCCCTTCTGCCATTCCTTCTATATAGGCCGTCCCCAAATGTCTTCTTTTTTCTCAACAATCTTCTCCCTCAGACATCTCATAGACTCCCATGACCACCTGCATGTATGTACCTCTCAAATCTACAGCTATCCGTGACTTCCTTCCTGACCCTGACATTAGCACCTCCACTTGCTTGTGAACGGGAGCCTCTTGGGATTTTAAAGTCAGTATCTCCAAAAAAAAGATGTTAACCTTTTATATCTGCTTGTCTCCGATTTCAACTGCATTCACAGGGCTGTCTGCAACTTTTCCCTCATCATCTCTTCTGACCTGCCATGCCCTGTTGATTCTTTCCCGATCCCTCCCTCCTTTCCATTTCTGTCACCACTTCTTCAGTTGAGGCCCCCTTCCATCTAAAGCACCAAAACCAGCTGTTAGCTTGAGATTTCTTGCCATCGGGGGAGATTGGTCCTCGATTGCAGCACTGAACAGTTCACGCTTCTCCAAAATATACACATAATTTTTCAATAGTTCTCCATGGTTAGAAAATAAAAGTTCAAGTTCTTTTTCATTTGTTTTGTTTTGGTTTTTGGTGCCTTTTAGGATCTTGTCTCACCATCATTTCTATGTTCCTGTTACTCCAACTCTGTTCTTTAAATACACTTTCTGCCTTCTCAGGAGCACTGGCCCCATGTCCTCTGCCTGAAGTTCTCACTCCATTCTGCTTCCTACGTGCTACATCCTCCAAACCTTTCTTCCTCATCCTCTGCTTGCCTAGAGCTGGAGCCAAGCCCTGTTCTCTGAGCCCTCACAGCCCTTCCTTTTGGACAGCATCTTACCACTTAACATCTATTCTCCTCCCTGAGGTGAAATGGGTTCATTTTCCTACCAGTTTGTACAATTCTTTACATTCCAATCGATAAAAAATGTACAAAATTTGCTTTAAAAAAATAGGTAACAGAACCTAGGACATAAAAAGAACAGTAAGCTACAGGCTCTGGGCCTGGATCATCCTAGTGGGAAAACAGAAACACAGGGACTGGCAGGCACTGTGCTGTGTGATAGGAAGTAGGTATGCTTTATTTTTCCCTCCAGTGAAGGGCTTGGCATGTGTTAAATGAATGGTATTTTAGAACTGGAAGAGGCTAAAAGATTATGCCATCCAATCTTCACCTTCCCTAGCCCAAGGAACTGAGACACAGAAGTTAGGATTACCTAGGGTTACTATGTCAGGGAAACCATCGCACGTGGCTACAGGCCTTCCTTCTGTGCAGTAGGGATGGAGTGTCACAGCAGCTATCAGGGTGTGAACCCCAAGGAAACTGACAGCGTGAAGTGTAACCAAGGCATGTTTCTAAGCTCAGTGAGTCGAAGGACGTAGGCCTGAAGGGTATGGAAGCTTCTGTTCTCCATTACTCTTGCATTGCCACCCCAGCACTCCCCTCCACTTCAATGCTTCCATAAAATGCTTTGGGAATTGATTTCCTTCTTTGGGAAAGTACAGATGCTCTATGTTTAATGAAGTGCTCCATTACAGGAAAAGAGAAGAACATATGTTTTGAAAGTTCTTGTTCCTGGGGCTGATAAGATGGCTCAGTGGGTAAAAGCATTTGCCATGCAACCCTGACCCCCTGAGTTCAATACCCCAAACCCATATGGAAGGAGATAATTGACTCCATAAAGCTGTCCTCCAGCCTTCACACATGTAGAGTGGCACACTGGAACCCATCCAAACACCACACACACAAACATACACACATACACACACACACAACTACAATTTAAAAAAAAGGAATTTCTCATTCCTATGTTGGCACTCCTCCTGTAAGTCATCAGGAAGGTCCCACAAAAACTGCCCCATTTTCTCTAAAAAGATTGCGTGATTGAAACAGGACTTTAATTTTATTTTTCCAAAAATTTCCCTGAATCAACTGCCTTAAACAAAGCCACATGAAGGTTCCCAGTGGGTCCACTGATCACTTTCTCTTTCAACCCAGCAGGAAGGTAATCTGGGTGTTGATTCTTTTTCACAATCCTCTGCTTCAGCCTCCTGATATCTGGGAATCACAAGCATGCACTAGCACACCTAGCTTGGCTCTAGTTCTTAAGAGAAAAAAATAATTTGTTTGTGAATTATTGTACAGCATATTTCTGTACAGCCTGAAACAAGAGAATCATGTTATAAATCACTATGAATATTAGCAACTCTGTTTTAGGGTAGACCCAGCATTCCAGGGATCAAGTCCTGTCCTCTAGAACCTGACTGCTGAAGGTCAAATCCTAACAGAGGTGATCAACTCTGTTTTCAAACACTGAGGCTGTCTCCCTCCTCTATCTAGAGTCTGTCCCTCACAGGCTTTACCCTCTGTGCAAATGAGAGATAGTACAAGATTTGGCTCAAATAACTTCTCTACCTTATCATTGGTGAGTACCTTACAGATTGCCAAGGCCTTCCACCTCCAGGTCTCCTGTGAAATAGGAGAGATGAGGAAATAGTAGGAGAGAGGTTAAGTAACATGCTGGGTCATCCAACTAGCCAGTGCAGAGCAAGAGAGCACAGGGCTGGAGAAAGCTGATCTGGGCTGTGGGGTCAGGCAGAGTCAGGACTCCACTTAACTACTCCTAGCCGAACCTATGTGCTTAAGGCATATACCCTCTTTCACTGGCATCTTTTAAGCACAATATATGTGTAATACCCACCCCACAAATATCTGAGAATTAAGACAGAATGTTAAAAAGCACACAACCGAAGTCCTAGCAAAAAGACAGTCCCTGAATAATAGCTTCCCTCAGTGAGCAGGCTACGAAAGAGGGGTGGGTAAGATCTACCTCATGGGGCCGGTGAGAGATTACATGAGATGGTGCCCAGAAAACACTCACCATTGTTAGCTCTTCTCCTCAGTTTCCACCCTCTACTTCACCTCCTTTTTACCCAAGCTACCTCTAAGGAAAAGAATAATAATGTTCCATATTCGAAAAGGAGTTTATGTGCTGGGGATGAAGCCCTAGGTTCAATTCCACACCCCCCACTACAGAAAGTGATAAGGGGAGGGAGTTTTAGAGAGAAGTCTTATCTACACATGTCAACAAGCATCTCATGGATTCTATTTTTCTATTATTTCTATATTATTTCTCAGGGGGGAAAAAGATCAGCGTTAAATATCCAACATGCTGGAAAGCCTGCACGGATAAGGAATAGCTTGACCATCTATCAGGCTCCATCCAGCCCCCTTCCCCCACATCCATCCCCATCCAGGTCAACCATCAAAAGGCACTAGGCACATTTCCTTTTTATTTTTAAAGTCCCAGCAACACTTGCGAACCAAAGGCTAGATGGAGTGACAATTGCAAAAGCGAACCGGAAAAGTACAAGGAAAACAGGACAGAAACACCTGGGAGTGAAAACAGTTGTCCTGCAAGTCCAGGGTTCTCTCCCAAAGAGCTCATTAACAGAGACATTTTATTGCCTGCTAAGTGCTATACAGTTTCCAAGTGGCCACTTGCTGACAAAGCAGTATGTGTCGGTGTCCTTTCTAGCACGTGATTCACAGTCAACAGCCTTGTGCCAGTCTAGCAGATGCGAGGCAAATGTGTTCTCAAGTGTCAGCTCAGTCACCTTCACCCACAACGCGTGTTGATGAGATTTCTAATAACGTTTCCCAAAAGAAAGAATGAGGGATAATGTGCCTCTCATAGGAGGGACTGCCCTGAGTGTGTGTGTGTGTGGGGGTGAGTGTACTCGTGTGTGTGTGTGGGGGGGTGATCACGGAGGTCAGAAGAGGGTGTCGGATCCCCTTGAACTGGAGTTACAGATGGTTGTTAGACACCATGTGTGTGCTGGGAATCAGACCCAGGTCCTCTGCAAGAGTAGCCAATGCTCTTAACCACTGAGCCATCTCTCCAGTCCTTAAACA